AAGATTGACTGGTTTGACCTCCTAGCAGTCCAGGGGACTCTCAAGAGTCTTCTCCAGCACCACAGTTCAAAGGCATCAATTCTTCGGCGCTCAATAATATAATATTGAGTAATAATATAATATTGAGTATATATTGAGTATATATATAATAATATAATATTGATTATATTAATCAATATTAATATAATAATATAGTTAAGTTACCAACATTGATTTACTCTCTATTAGCACTTAGTCTCTCTGTTTCATATAATGTAAAACTTATATTTTTCTTTAGGAAAATGTATAGAATATTGCTGAACTTGATTGCTGACATACCATTCTTCTTTGCAACCTAGTAAGACTGAAAACCTAATTCAAAGATATGCTGGCTGTAAGGAATTCGGGAGAGGAGTAAGTAATCCTCTTCTGCCAGCAAAAATCCCTTTCTGCCAGCATGTAGCAACTTTCCTTTGCTTAATCCCAAAGACATGCCAATGGAGAGTTCTGCTAGCATAGATATGAGACTCCCAATCTTCTGTAGAGTTTATAGTAATATGATTGGAATGGAAGTAACTGGGTTTTTTTTGTTATTTCGTTTGCTGTGGGATTTTTAAGATTGAGTATAGGAACAAGGACCAACTATGAGGAAAAATACTTATATATTCAAAGAGTGATCATAATTGTTTCTTATCAAACTGAATCAAAAGGAATTGGTGAAATACATATATGGATAAATAAACAAACCAATTGGGGAGGGATAATCAAAAAAGATACCACAAGGTCTAGTGTTTGGCCCTTAATAGTCAACATTTTTATTAATGATATAGATGATGAGAGGGAGTCAATTACCAAATTTGCAGATAACGCAAAATTGGGTGGGATAACAAAGATGGTAGAAGACATTTGAATAATTTTGAAGAGAAATAGAGTGAAAACAATAGAATGAAATTTGACAGAGACCACTGTAAAGTTCTCCATGTAAGAAACAGAAATCAAATACTAGGTACAGAACAGGTAGTAGTTGGCTTTACAACAGTCCTTTTGAAAAAGATCTCAGAACAGTAGTTGATTATAAACTCAATATGAATCAACAGAGTGCAAAAAAAAAAAAGGCAAATGATGTTTTTGGCTGTATTAATAGAATTATAATTTGTATCTACTTTATTCTGCATTGGTAAGACTCCAAGTCACCAGTTTTGAACACCATACTATTAAGGAGGATTCAGACAACTGAAACCATTTCAAAGAAGGGAGACAGAAATCATCAGGAGCCCAGAAATCAAATTCTATTAAGAGAAATTAGTGGAACTAGGACTGTTTATGATATATATGATAATACTATTCAAGGAATGTCACAAAGAATTAAGACCTCTTCTTCATCATCCCAGAGTACAATATGTGTAATAACAGATTTAACTTACTACAGAAAAGCAGATTCTATTTGAACAGTATGAAAGACTTTCTGGTAGTAAGAGCAGTTTAGCACTGGAACCAATTACCCAAAAAGGAGTTTTGCTCCCCCACAAGGTGTATTCCAGCATAAGTTAAGCAGTCATCAAGTCAGGAATACTTTAGTTTGGATTGCTGCATGGGGCACTATACAATGAACCATAAACTAACCAAGCATGCAGAGTTCTATTTCATTTATATATTTACTAATATTTCTATGCTGATCCATTCCCAATGGCTCAGAGTGCCATACACGGGGGAAAACAGAAGATTAAAATCAACACAACACTTAACAGTATGCATTATAATGGCACTGACCAACATGGTTATATACCAACATCTCCCAAATGCTTTCTCTCAGAGCCATGTTATTACTCTTTACATAAATTAATTAGGGAGGCAGTTCTTTATACATTAGGATAAACTGATCCATAAGAGGGACAACACCATTGATAAGATGCTTCTACAGGTCCATATAGATGGAACTCTTTTATAGATAAGATCTTCCACAGGGCCTCTCTCTCATATCTTACCAATGCTCTCTTATATCTTACCAATGAGCAGATTCACTCTGGAGTAGCCAATCTCAGAGATAACCAGGCCCTGAGCCAAGTATGGTTTTAAAGGTGACAACTAGCAACTTCAATTGCATCCAGAAGCTAGCCAATAGCCAATGTGGTTCCTGAAGAAGCATTACATGACCAGATCATGAAGCCAAGGCTGCTGTATGCTGAACCATGTTCAGCAGACAATCTGCTGTGAAAAATGTTCACGCCATGAACCATGTTCACAGACAGATAATCCCAGGCAAAATGCAATGCCTCTACACAGTCAAAATACTTTTTCCTCTGAAGCACTGTACAACTCTACATTATCTTGCTTAACAGATACAGGGATCTGCTATCTGCTCGTTCTTTAAAAAAAATGATGAAATTCCAAATGGAATAATATCAATCTCATGTTACAAAGTGCTGTAACATTTAGCACTATAGCACTTAACTGGAAACATTCTGATTTTAGGCACATTTATTTCTGATTTTGTAGTTCTTACCTCTTTCACATTGAGGGCCTGTGAATCCATATACACATGCACAACGATTTGGTCCAATGCAGCGGCCTCCGTTCTGGCATCCATGTTCACAGACAGCTGTGTTTAAATAAATATTATGTCATTCGAGGACTATTAAGAAATTGGATATTGACATTAATCATTATTTCTAATGGAGAAGGCTTAGAATAAATTGAATTGGGAGAATTTGCTTATATTAATTAATTAATTCATACAATTTTAAGTCTGGGAGAATAGCCAAGCCTTTACTTCTTGAACATCACCAGGGTGAGAGCCATTTGGATCTCTGGGTGGATCTCATTCCAGATGGCAGGTGCCACAACAGAGAAGGCATGCTTCCTGGATCTTGCTAGATGACACAGCCTGATCAATGAGTCCCAAAACATGCTAGGATACCTTGTGCTTACCCTCAAGCAATATAAATATCATTTGCAGTAGGTACTGACAAGACATAATTGAAAATATAAGTGGATTTTTGAGGAACACCTAAGTGAAGGTTCCTCCTCATGGCCACATTAGAGTGCTATCTTCCACTCTTCCATTTGTCATAAAAGTATGCAGGCATAAACCACACTGTTCTAACAGCTGAGGTCTATTGTGCTTCAGTAACAAGTCTGGCAAATGGTACTGTTCCTACCATTTTAAGGCAGGACAAATGAAGGAAAGCAACTGGTGGATTACTCTGCCTTTCTCTCCACTCACACTGAGCATCACTTTCTGATGGGAAAAGCAATCACCAATTGCTCTCATGAACCTGGGGGGAAGGGGGAGTCAGGTGCTTTAATGGCAAGTTTAGTCACCATTGAGTTCCCCAAACAACATGTCTTATACGTACGGAGAAGGGTGAAGAACAAAGTGGGAAGGAGTGAATGATCAAACTCCATCCTCAACAAGCGCAGCAAGAGAATGAAAGCAGTGGTAGCAAGAAGTAACCTGTGGTAGAAGTAGCCTATGGAAAAGATCCAGCATATATAGTCCTTCTCTGAGGAAGCAGCGTAAAATTTGTAATGCATTCACTGGGGACAGAACCACCAACACAGCCAGCAAAACCCAGCCCTCTTTCCCAGTTAAAGCACAGCTCTAATACTCTTTCAAAAGACCCATGCATACAAGGAGTGACCATAACACCAGACAAGCACCAGACAAGTAGGTGTCAGTGAGGCATTATGCTCCCAGATGCATCTGTGGGAGTCAGGCATTCCTTTTCTTCTGCAATAAAAACCAAAAGGGCTACAGAGGGCAGCCCCTAGCAATCAGAGGAAAGAGGCATGTTCACATTAGCCTAAGTGGCAGTAAGTGTTTACTATATTGTTACCTGCACCATTCATTCATTCATTCATTCATTCATTCATTCATTCATTCATTCTTCATTAGATCAGAACAGCTACCATCTTATGCACCATAACCCTGAATGGCTCATAGATAGTAATACAACAATAAACATTAAAAAGCATAAGC